AGAAATTCGCTACGACGAATCTGGTTGCGCAGAATCGATAATGGGGAATATGAACGTTACATCGCGCACGTTTTACGCTAGAGAAACTGCTAATTTATTTATTTATTTATTTATTCACGGGATTAAATATCCGTTAATACAAAAAAGATACAAGCAGGGGAGACCGGGGTAAAACCGAGACGCTAAAAATAAAGTTTCATAACTTCGCTTGATTGATTAATATAAAAATAAAATTGCGATCAAGATGCATTAGAATGTAATTTTTGTTAAACAATAGTACATATTTAATTTTTTTAATGGAAAGACAAATATGAAAAAATAACCATTTAGTTATACGTTTTTAAGTGATCCGCATACAATAAATATTTACGGAAACGAAAGGCTTCGGATATGTCATTAACGAACAGAATAAAATGTAAGGGTCCGAGGTGTGAACATTGGGGAACACCTGAATATACAAATATAGCATTTAACAATCGTAAAATTTAATGGAGTCGTATCGACGGGAAAATCTTGTTATCGGCGAATAAGAAAAAGCTTTCGCGACGCAATTAACGGGGAGCGATCCAATTTTCCGGGCGTGTCCTTGGACGGGAGAGATCCGCGGTAATTGAAAGCGCGTATTCCATGAGGTAGGGAGAGAGCTAATCGTTCCAACTCGAACGATTAATTCCTCGCTGGTTCCACCTTTTCCCGCGAGCGGATTTGCATAATTGGCCGCCGCTGTCCATTTCGCTGGTATCGCGCTACCGCGGACGATCGAGGGGCCGCTCCCTCGAGAAATGCCATTTCCAATTAACTATCGATTATTGGGCCCGCGAATCGACCGATTAGGGTTGTCCCGTTTAAAGAACGTTGATAAATGCGCGAGATGGGACGCGTGGTGCTACCTTTTACCCTCTTTGGTCCTCGTCGTCGGCGGGGACCAGGCGCTTGAATCCCGATAGCGATTCTAACGAGACTCGATAACTCCCATATTTGATTATTTATTTATTAGTTGCGCCAGATACGACCCTCTCGATAGACCACAAAATACAACATCGTGAACAACGAATAAAAATGCGCTGTGGAAATCTTCGAGCATGGAGTCTATCGAAAAGGAAACTTCTGGAGGAATAAATTTGTTGACTGAAACTCATAAAAAGAGAAATGTTACCGTCACAAGTTGGTTGATCTGAAACCCAAAAATTCGCTACAATTAAATCTGAAAAGGTCTCGATGGATCCTGATGTTCCTAAGCTTATCCTACTTCAGCTCATAAATGTTTTCCTCTCGTTCGAGAACATTTGAAATATCAAATATTTTGATAATATTTAAGAACGTAATACTCCAGAAACGTTGTCATAGAAGGGCTTCGTGAAAAGAAAGAGCAATTCTTGTGGAAGGTTCGGTGGAAACAATGGCAGCGAACGCGAGAGATCCGCGGCGGCTTTCGTCTGAATAATTCCGACCCGTTAGCCCAATTTCTCATTCCACCTCAAGGACGACCAGGACGACTCCGGGTCCGGCGGTACCAATGGGGAGAGACGCGCATCCGCTGCACGCCGGTCATTATCTTTTCGCATTTTTCGACCGAGATTATTCTCGAAACGAATGGCCCTCTTAAGGCTCGCGACCGGATCATTAATCTGGCTTCGAAGATGGCCGAGTTGTCGGGCCCGGCTAGCAGAAATCGACCGTCGTACGCTCGCGCCGGGGCCTTTAACAGGGTATCACCTTCGCGATCGGACGTCGTTACTTTAATTTCGTCTTCGCGTGTCCGCCGCCAATAATAGAACGCTTGGCAAAAATTACGCTCCGTCGGAGCCCGACCGACTGAAATTAAACCCCTCGCGGTCGGAGACCAGGATATTCCTGGCGGCGCGCACGATGTCCACAGCGACGCCTCTGCGACAGGGTGGCGCACCCGTCGTCGTCGTTCCGCGAAGGACAACAGAAAATAACCGAGAACGTGAATTCTTCTCGCCTAACTCCCCTGGGACCAACCATTATTGCTACATTTATTTTGGAGACCCGACAATCTCAACGAGATTAAATATACTAGCTTTCGTCTCCATTTTTAGCAGATTTATTCAACCCCTTGTCGCAAGTTCTTCGTGGCAAGCTTCGTAATCGTAATTTTAATAATCGTTAAAAGGGAGTCAAAAAATTGTACTCCAGTAGCCACTCGATTTACTTCTCGACAACTTGCTTCTATTAAAATGAATTCTTGGACTGCAAAGGGTCAATTTTCCACAGATTGCTAAGCCCCTTCGAAACACGATGTTCGTTATTTCATTCTTTCTCATTCTTTCATCATCATTCATTCTTTAATTTCTTTTCATACAATGACGAGTCTGACTCGTTATAAGTTCTTGATGTAAAGTTTCACAATCACGAGGCTACTCACTCGTCATCAAGTCTTATAAATTACACATTTCATATTATTCTTTTTCGTGACCATTCCTCTTACGAACGAATTTAAACAGAATTAAATTGTATGCGTTTGAAAACATATTTGCCATTAAATCGTACAAGGGTTTGAGGCTGTCGAGTGAAGCAATGCATCCCGTCTATTTTAATAATCCATCTCGAAGCCAAGGTTAAATTTCCACCATCGAATCCAGTAGATGTTGGCTAGAAATTATTGGGAATAAAGGGCGTTTCACGGTATCACGATTTATTACAAATGACGCGTAATAGTCGAGGATAATTCGCCCGGTTAAGCGACCCCCTTTGCAAAGATTTGCTTCCAATTACCCTGAGGGGGATCGACTAACGAGTAAAAATGGATCCGGGGCTCGAGGAGGTAACGGAGCCAACGAATTTCTTTTCCACGGAACAACGTGGATGTTCGCGAGGGAAATAGACGGGACGCCTATTACCTGGCCATCTGTCCGGGCTTAAATCAATTCTGACGGTTTCTAGCATTACCGTGGCCATCGACGTCAGAAGACGCCGGGATTCGCGGCCGTTTCTCGTCCAGCGACGTTGCTGGATGCTGACGCTATTGATGGTGCTGCCGATGGCCGTGCACGAGCCGGCAAACTACAATTGACTTCGACCTTTGGCACTCCTAGACTCCGAGGGAGCCGCTTCATGGGGCAGCGTTTGATTCACTGCCTGCCATAACGTTCCCGGAGTCAGACGGTTCGCTATTCTTGAAAGGCGACGCGCGGTCGTGCGTCCAGATCCTGTCCTCTGAAATCGTCTTCGAGCGACGAAACTCGCGACAGTGTTACTCAATTGTATCGTTGACAAGTTAGAGCAAACCCCGTTACACTGTTTTCTTTAAGGGGCCTTTCTACTTTGTGGGATTTAAAAAATCGAATTTTTCTTGCTTTTCTTTTCGTATGTAGCCTCGAAAATATATCTGCCAAATATTAAATTGAAATTTGAAAAACTAACGAAGTTATAGCCTGCTGAAATGTACCATGCGCAGGTATAACTGGACATAAAACTGTAAGTTGCCTTTCTACTTTGTCGGATTAAAAGAATTGAAATTTTTTGCGCTTTTCTTTTTAGTATATAGTCTCGAAAATAGTAGTAATTGTAGTCTACCAAATATTAAATTGAAATTCGGAAATCTAACGAAGTTATAACCTGCTGAAATGTACCGCGCGCAGGTATAACAACTGGACGTGAAACTTTAAAGCTGTTTTTCTCGAAACTACATTTTTCAGCACTGCGTAGACGATAACATGAAAACTATTCAAAATATCAACATTAAATTTATACAGTATCTATAGAACTAGTCTCCCTATAATATGAACTAGGATAATTGCGATATATGCAATACTTTTTCTTTTATTAACAAAAAAGCAACCGAATATATGAAAATATTCAGTATTTTTTCGTAAAATAACTGCCATTTTGCCATTTTACGTTTTTTTGAAAAGATCGTAATTCATGCTATAATCAAACTTATCTACATACTATGTTAATTTATGTCTATGTATATTATGAATGTCTTTGGTTTTTAGATTTCGAATAACTTGTTCGCAAGATATCACGTTCGTAAAAACTTTTGTTCGTTGATAACCAAAAACAGCGTAATCAATAGATATTATGTGTTGCAAAAATTCGTAAATATAGTTAAATATATAATAAATGTATCCACAAAACCCGGAATTAATCTCTCTTTAATAGCCCACAAAGAAACATGTATTTTTCGTGGTTACAAAGTAGAATGGCCCCTTAAGGGGGGAAACTACTGTGACGAATTTTAAAAATCTTGTTATCTCTTTTCAATGCTTGTAAAATTCGCAAAACTGACAAAGTTACGGAAGATTTAGCAGATGTAGAATGTAAGTATTCGTTTGAAATTCTTTGATTATTTCTGCTGTGGTCAAGCAGAAATCACTGCAAAATTAAAGTAATTTGTATCTGTTTGAGTGCTCGCTACATGGTTGTTTGACAAGATTTTGCAATGAAAAATTTGTATTCGTATACATTTTAAGCTACCCAAACATCGTGTAAAAGAGAAATTATTTATACCTAACCGTTTTTTTTTTTTATTATCTCTTACAAAGGGGCTCAATCTGATTGCCTGGCCCCCTTAAAATCGAAAGATTCTTATTAAATTTTAGAGCGATCGAATGACGGGAATTTGGGCTAAATTCGAAGAAAAGCTTTGCAATTTTAGTGAGTTCATCCACCTGAATCGTGAAAAGATTCTGAGGAATTTGGGCCATGTTTCAAGGTTTCGAAACGTCAGTTTTGGATGCAATTGTGTTCCACTGTTGCTGATATAAAAAGCTCGTCAAGCGGATGACTGTGCGACGGGCTGCTCCAAGGCAGCTTTCGGCCGGATATAAAATTTAAATTGTAGCGAACCGTTTTCGAGGGAGCCGAACGAAACCGTATCAGGACGATAAACGGATTTGTCAGCGGCAAAGTGGATTTCGTACGAATACGCGCCGCCCCGGTGAAAAGACTCCCTAAGAGGATTCGATTTGCCTCTTGCAGTCGGTATCGAATACGGAAATTTGCATTAAATGCTTCTTGCGTGCGAAACTCACGTGTTCGTCCACCGAGTACGTTAGCTCCCCGTCGTCGTACAGGACGAACCATCTTCTCTGCCACCTCTGAAAACAAAAACAAAGATATCGTTGGTAAAAGCGCCAATAATTTTACAAACCAAACAAAATACCAAGCGTAGGAATAAAAATCTGGTTTCCAGGTATAAATTATTCGAGAGAGGCAAGCTTTATGGCAATGTTCTAAATTGTTAAAAGGAAGACTACGCAGGAACGCAAAAAATTCACTTTCGATGGCGCGTATTTGTTTTCGCGGAAGCGTTTATTGCATCGAGCGAAAAGAATTCCGCTTAACCCGAGGCTGAACCTGCTCAACCCACACGAAGGAATCTCTAAGGCCTCCCGACGCGGCAGCTGGACAATTAACACGCTGCTGCCGTTAATTAGAAACAAAGCTCGAGGAAAGAAGAGGCTCCATCGTCGCGATTTCTCTTTCGTTCCGCGGCGTGCCGAGTTGTTTTCAAATTTTTCTCTCTTATCCCATTCGTATCTCCCTTCGCGAGGCCGTAACATTTCCCAGAAGAAGAGGCACAAATGATTGCTAAAACATCTTTATTCCGAAGGTTCGTCAGAATCGTCCTTAAATATCGATCCTTCGCTCGCGAATTTTCTTTCGCGGAAAAATTCTGCGGCGAAAGAGTCGTGTGAAGCTGAAAAATGGAAAACGGTCTCGCGGATTTGACGGTCGAGGATCAAAGGAGGACGTTTCTGGGACGATCGCAATGCTCGGAAGCTCCTGGGGCGCGATTGTATGCAAATCAGTGCATAAAGTTCGCGGCCGGACGCTCGGTTACACGCTCGCGCTCCGATCGACCGTCTTATTCCCGCGATGATCCCACGGGGACCGCGTTATGACGCAACGAGAACGAATTCACGGAGAAAGTTCAGGGAAACGAGAACGAATAGGTGCTTTTTCGTCGTGGGTTTTGTCGCTTTCCGCCACGATCGCGATTATCCGGCTCTGAATCGCTCCCGGGAATGTGGCACGCGGTGATAACGAGGGCTGGCCTTCGCGGAGCGTACGCCTCGCGTGACCCAGATCCATTATTCACTTACTTCTTTGCAGCCTATTGCGCATTCGATTATCTGCTCATTAACGACCGTCGCTGACGCGCGATCCAGTCCGCGCTACCCGCTTTTTACGATCGACTATCTCGAGAACAATGTTCCATCTGTCGAGGAACGGAACTCCTTTAACCCCTTGTCTTATTTATTTTTAAAAGATAATGGTTACAGCCATTTTGGCGAACACCGAAAGCTTCGTACGGTTATTCACCGGATCTTCGGATCTCTTTTCGTTAAGCGTACTCTACTTTGCTGTTTCTAAACGCCTCCAGGTCCATTAGAAAATGTGCCGTCCCTAATGCGTTTAACAATGTGGTATCAGCACGACGGCAGTCCAGCGCATTACGCCCAGTAGTCACGGCCGGCGTTAAACAGACTGTTTCCTAATCGTCGGATCGGACGCGGTAAACGCCGCACAGAGCTCGACGGATTTTAACGCCGGTCGATCATTTCCATCAAAGTTCGTCGCGAGTCACCGACAAAGATACGCGAGATCGCGTTATCGGTGCAAGGCGCCGTAATAACGGTAAAAACGCTCGGGAAAGTTCCTCCGGGTTAGGTAAACTCGAGCTTACGTAATTGAAAAACAAGTGCTGCGAATAAAATTTCGATCGCCTGGTCTCTTACTGTTTTTTGTTGACCCTGTTCGATACTTGACGAGTATGGTAATCGCGACACCTGCGTTATTCTGTCGATCAACGTTACGTGTAGACTCATGTTTACAAACATTTCGATGCGAAACTTATTAGCGAACTTTGAAACGTTGCAACTTTTTAAGTGTTGAATTTAGGACGTCGGTGCATTAATACCTTTCTGTAGAGAATAAAAAACTGAAACTCGACTGGCTTTTGTGGCCAAAACTTTAGCACCGAAAAACCTACGTCTAGAGTTTATATTATTTCATTCGGATCTCATTTTATTCAGTATCTGCTTACGTTAGAACTCTGTTAAAAAAACAGACCTTGTTACTAAGAGTCAAACAGTCGCGACTAGTCGTTCAATAAGCGAAATGTAACAACCGAATTATTTTACTTAAATAAATTTTCAAATAATTACATTGATGTATATTAAACAATTATTAGTTGAGACTATCCAGTGAAGGGTTAAAGATACAGTTTACCGCGATCGTGGTGTTGGAGACGATGAATGAAACGGTCCAGGTATAAAGCTACCGACGTAACTGTGCCGACTGGTTTTCGCGGGCCCCTCGGATCGGTTATAGTTCACGAGGGGTCGAACGGGGCCCCGTGGGTTGCTCGTTGGCGAGGGGACGGCGTCGTCGTCGGCTAGGCGCGCGCGTGTACCGTTGCAAAATCCTCGTCGGTCGTCGGACGTTAGCCAAGGAGGTGGAGAGAGGACGACCACGTCCACGGGGGGAAAGAGAGGCGAGATTTCAGCCTACACGAGGCGGCGGTATCTTCATCTGGTAATTATTCAGCGGGCCCTCGCGGACCCGTGCGAGAGCCACGGCACGTGCGTGGGAAGATCTCTCGCGGAGGAAGAGGAAGAAGAAGCGGACGACGCCGGGGCCCCGAACAATGCCGGAGGATTGAGACGGTGGAAGAGAAAGCACGGAACCCGAACACCAGCCCCGTAATCTCTTCCTCGTGTAACGCTTGCTGCAACCTCCGCGCCAGGGCTTCTACGCTTCAATGGAACCGAGAGACGTGCGAAAATCCTCGACATAGATGCCCTCCCCGCTACCGGAAAACTTGACGCGTCGTTAAATCTCTGACGCACCGATTACCGTGAGATTATAGCCGGCTATATTACGATACCCAATTGCACGTTATGGAGGTTAATGGAGAGAAAATTGTGGGGGATATAGCTCGATGGGTACTGATTGTTTTTCTACCATGACGTTCGAGGGAAATTTACAGCCATATCGCGCGACGATTAGAAGAATACTCGGTCCAGAATGAATTATTTTTTGTGGAATTCGTCGTAGAGGATGCGTTTTAGAACCAAGTGTCTCCCGAAAGTGCGAGGGAACAAGAGGCTCGATCGTCACTGCCAGGTTCGCGTTTGCGGAAGAGATAGAAGAGCACTTCTAGGTACTCTAAGAACATGACAGTGTTGAATGGTCATCGTCGCTCATCGCGCGCTGCACTTTTCTGGAAATACATCGTTTCTCACGCTTTGTCTCCTTCCTAAGTTCCCTGGTAGACTCTGTCATAATTACGAACCTGTCGTGTCTTACCTCGAACTACGTACACGCAAATAGATAGCAAACTCCACGTTTTTGCTGGTGTTATTACAACACTTCAGCCTGCCCGGGCACGGAACAAATTAGGTTCATCGCCTGGTTTCCCTCTCTGCTAGAAACCTCAATTGTTCCCTCCAAGACACGGTGCTGTATCCTTTATTTTTACACTAGTGTTTTTAACAGGTATTAGATACACTAAAACTCGATCTTTATATAAACAAAGTAGAATACAGGTCGTACCATAGATTTTACTTGAAATATCGGAGCTATTCAGAAATGTGATTCAAGTAATTTCTATCGAGTAAATAGAAGACGAGGCGTATGAAATGTTTATGCAAGAAAGAATATTGTCGTAATTTCGTGGATCGAGGGACCCGTATATTCCTGACCTATCGCATCTTCCTGGTTCGAACAGCCGGTCGTTAACACCGCCCACCAGCGTCTTTCTGGTTCGACCCGTTCCGTTCGTTCCGATCATCGACGAGCAAAATCACCCAGCCAACGGTTACGAACGAGATAACTGGCCCATTTTTTTTAACGCTCGCGCGTGTCGGCCACACTTTCTCGCGAACACGACGCGATAAAGCACAGCGGGTAGCTCGCCAGCATTTACTCTCGTTCGCTGAGAAACGCTTCGAGTCAAGATCTAACTGTTCTTACGATCGAAAACGAAGTCTTAATAACGTCCAAAATTGACGAAACAAAGTACAATCCGTCCTTAATCACAGAAAAGGCTTTTGGCCACCAAGGAAGTCCGCGTATTAATTTTAAATCAATCGTAAACATTTCTCGACCTGCTCTGTTCGCCTGTTTCCGTGAATAAATATTTTTAATTGATTTCTCGTGGCAAACTTGACCCAGTTGCCGATCGCGGGGAACTTGGAGGTTCCGGTTGCGTGGAGAGGTCGGATAAATTTCAGAGACGGACGGTGGCTGGCGAAACGGCTCCAATTTCCGTACGGCTGAATCGTCGAGCACGAAGAACCACGGATCGAACGCTCGGCGACTTCGGAACGCTGACCTACCGCACCTTCTTCCGGGTACAGCGACGATCGTTTTGCATCGCCCACGGATCAAGGACTTCTGGTTTCATCGGCGCACGAGCATCGCGTCGATCATCCGGGACGGGATGCTTCCTCGACAGGAAGGTGGGCAAAAAGATGAACATACTACTTTGTCATTGGTGACGCGCGGAATTTCGCATCGCCGCGATCGACGAGGGCCCCCTTTGATCCGAAACGACGCGTCGTCGATCCGTATCGACTCCATTTCCCGGATGCGTGTATACATTTACTCTCTTAATTATCAATTTCAACCTCGAAACTACTGGGTTGAGTGATTGACATTATTTCTTTATCAAAAGGGTTACGCAACAACCTAGTCTAAAACGTATTCTCCATTACTGAATACAACTGTTGGTTTTTCTGTTCTAAAAGAGAAAGTTTTCTTTCCGTGACAAAACCCATCGACTCGTATGTTGCGTTTCGCGTTTCGAGATACAAGTCAAGAGGGTGCAGCTGTGTCCCTTCCTTGGCTTTGTTTAGACAAAGTATAGGACCGATTGGGTCTGAGGGTACGAGACGAATTTTTCCTCACTGACATTTTCATTCTGTATGTTTCTTTCAAATTGTGCAGACGTGCCTTCCAAGTGTGTCTAATAAAGCTTACAAGGGGAGGTCATACCCTGTCAACCTGGGATTTCAACCAAATTTGGCAGAGTTGTTGGGGCTGATGTCCAAACGCAATCTGTAAAATACTAGACGTTTATGGCCAGCCA